GCTCCCAGCCCCCGCCCCCCCCGGCTTTTGCACGTGACCACAGGCTCCCAGTGCCAATTGCGGCCCCACCTCCCAGTCACTCCCCCGCCCCCGCCAGGCTTAGGTCCGGCACCCAGCCGGAAATTCAAACAATACCGGACATTGCACTTGTCCGGTATTTTCTGAATTTTTCTACCAGACAGACGGTGCAAATACCGTACTGTCCGGTACAAAACCGGACACCTGGCAACCCTGGTGACCAGGAGTAAGCTGAGTCCTGTCTCTGTGTCTCCAATCCTGCGCTGGGATTTGCCTGGCACGGGGGAAGCTCGTTCTGCCCTGTTCTGCACTCGCTGACGATGCCTCGCGCTGGGCTGGGCATTCAGCTCCCGCAGCCCGGAGTAGGCGTCCCAGCTGCTGTTTGCTTTGCCAGATGTGAGGCTGGTGGGGGGCCCCCACAGCTGCGCCGGGCGAGTGGAGGTGCTTGTGGCCGGGCGCTGGGGCACCGTGTGTGACGACGGCTGGGACGAGAAGGACGTGGCCGTGGTGTGCAGGCAGCTGGGCTGCGGGCAGGCTGTGGAGTCCCTGAGTAGCGACGTGTTCGGCCCAGGGTCCGAATCACAGCCTGTCCTGCTGACGGACGTGCAGTGCCAGGGGACGGAGGCGGCGCTGGGGACCTGCACGTATGAGGATCCAGGGGGCAATTGCGACCACAAGGAGCACGTGGGGGCTCGTTGCCATGGTGAGCCCAGATGCAGGGGAGGATTTCTGGGGTCCCAGGTTGGGGGCTGAGCTCTGACTCACTGGCCTTGCTGGGTCAGCGCTGCACAGTCGGCCCTTGTGGCAGGGAGGGACCCGGCAGGTCCTGGGCTTGGGACAAGCAGGGCCTGGGCGCCGCTTTCTGGACACGGCCACTGTCCACCATAGGCGTGTGCAGCACATTTCATTAGGGTGTGCACCCAGGGAATTTTTTTTTTTTTTAAGGTGAACATTTATTGATACTCCATCATAAAGGACTTTATTTTTATTCATCAAACAAACTAAAGAAACTAAAACTTAACTAAACTTATTTTTTTTAATTAACTAAACTTTACTTAAAAGAGCATATCATGCAATTAAATTAAAATGCAAAGCCACTTGTTTTTTAGACATTAGGGTGTGCCTGGGCACACTGGGCACACTCCCTGCGCACGCCTATGGTGTCCACACAACCCCCCCACCACTCTCACCCTCCAGCAGGGCTGGAAGCCAGGTCTCCTGGGATCTGTTCCTGGCTCTGAGAGCGGAGTGGGGCTGAGTGGGTTGGGGGCTGGGAGCCAGGTCCTAGCACCCTTCAGTGCTTTGTCTGGCCTTAACTGCCAGCCCCAGTGCACAGCCCCGCCTACTGGACGGTCTACAGACCACGAGGCTGTATATATTTTTGTTAGTCTCTAATGCAGTGGTCCCACGTGGCGCCCGCCGGGACATTTATATGTGCCCGCTTAGTGACCAGGTCCGGCCTGAGCTATTCTTGCGCTGCATGCGCAGTTCCGCCCCTGGGTGTGCGGCACATGCACGGCCCCGCCCCCGCCTGGCTTTTATCCCAAATGACTGGAAGATTGCTAATGTGACACCAGGTTTTTTTAGAAGGGTCTCGAGGTGACTTCAGTACTGGGCCAACTGGTTGAAACTATAGTAAAGAACAGCATGTGCAGACATAGGTCAGCATAATTTGTTGGGGAAGAGTCCACAGGGTTTCTGTAAAGGGAATTCATACCTCACTAATCTACTAGAATTCTTTAAGGGGGTCAACAAGCCCCCCCACTGAGGATCTAGATTTCCAGAAAGCCTTTGTCAAGGGCCCTCACCAAAGGCTCCTAAGCAAAGTCAGCTGCCATGGGATTCGAGGGAAGGTCCCTCAGGGATTGGTTACTGGCTCAAGATAGGAAAGAGGAAACAAAGGACAGGGTTAAATCTTCAGTTTTCAGAATGGAGAGAGGTCACTAGTGCTGTCTGCCTGGGGCTTGTTCTGGGACCAGTCCTATTCCATATATTCATAAAATGATTTGGAAAAAGGGATAAACAGTGAGGTGGCAAAATTGCAGATGATACACAAGTATTCAGGGTAGTTAAGTCCCAGGCAGACTGTCACTGGGTGACCGGGCAACAAAATGGCAAGTGAAATTTAACGCTGACAAATGCAAAGTATTGCAGATTATAAAATGTAATCCCGACTAGACATATAAAATGATGGGGTCTAAATTAGCTAGGTGGAAATGGACATGGGAGACAGATGTGTTGAGTGTCTCTGGGTTAGGCTAAAAGGGGTAAAAAACAAAGGTGATGTCATGCGAGGGGTCTACTACAGGCCACCTACCCAGGTGGATGAGGCTTTTTTTAAACAACTAACAAAATCATCCAAAGTGCAGGATTTGGTGGTGATGGGGGACTTCAACTATCCAGACATATGTTGGGAAACTCACAGCAGGGCACAGACTATCCAATAAGTTCTTGGGCCTTTGGTCTGACCCGGTATGGCCGTTATGTTCTTTTGTTGAGAGTAGGGCCTAGTGGTGAGAGCAGGAGGAAGCAGGGGCACTAGTTATGACCCATTTCCAGGTGCTCAGTTACCGGCCTCTGGCCCTGCAGCCTCTGGGTCCTTCCCCGCAGCCCTGAGCGAGCAGGAGGCTGGGAGCCAGGTCTTGGGTCTACCCTCGCTCTGTATGTTTTGGTCACTTCCTGCTCGTCATTTCTGTCTCTCCACCTGCCTTTCCCTGCAGAGGTGCCAAAGGTGCCGGTCCGGCTGGTGGGCAGCAACGCCACGCGCTGCAGTGGGCAGGTGGAGATTTTCCACCAGGGCCGCTGGGGCACCGTGTGTGGGCTGGGTTGGGACCTGACAGACGCCAAGGTGCTTTGCCGGGAGCTGGGCTGCGGGACCCCGCGGTACATCACCCAAAGCTGCCTCAAGTTCAGTCGGAGCTCAGAGCCCATCCTGCTGGGCCTGCTGGACTGCACCGGGCACGAGACCTCGCTGACCCAATGCCAATTTCAGGACTGGGCAGAAAAGCCCTGCCCTTACCACCGGGACACCGGAGTCAAGTGCCAAGGTGAGAAAGCTGGATTGGTGCCAGGCCCTCACCCCCTTTCCGCCTGGTGCCTCCCAGCCCGGAGGTTGGGGGGCCCTTGTAGGGATATTTGTTTACCAAGACTCTGTGTGTGTGTGATTTGTTGCCCAAGACGTGTGTGTGTGTGTGTGTGTGTTGTGTGTGTGTGTGTGTGTGTTCCCTCCTCTGTAAGGCATCCAACCACCCACAAAGAACACCTCAGCTGCCAATCTGGCTACAGACCAGCCCCAGTCTATACAGAGGAGAAGTTATAAAAACCAATCTCACCAAATCCAAATAGGTTCTCCGAGTTCTCTGTGGTCATGAAGCCTTGTGGCTCCCATTGGTTGTTGTTTGCTGTTTGCAGCCAAGGGGAGCTGGCACATGCTGCTTCCCGCAGCTCCCCTTGGTAGCAAACAAAACAGCAAACTGGAGCCAATAGGAGCCATAAGGCTCCGTGGCTACGGAGCCTGAAAGTAACCTTGGAGCGGCCAGTGAGCAGCTTTCTCAGCGTGGCTTTGTGGGTCGCTTTAGAAACTCTGCGATAGGTGGTTGACGCCTGCTCCTGTGTCCCAGACAGACAGGCTGCGTTTAGACTGGCAAGTTTTTTGCGGAAAAACTTGCCAGCTGTCTACACTGGCCACTTGAATTTCTGCAAGAACACTGACGATCTCATGTAAGATTGTCAGTGTTCTTGCAGAAATACTATGCTGCTCCCGTTCGGGCAAAAGCCCTCTTGTGCAAATTCTTTTGCGCAAGAGGGCCAGTGTAGACAACGTAGTCTTGTTTTGCGCAAAAAAGCCCCGATCGCGAAAATGGCGATCAGGGCTTTCTTGCGCAAACCCGCGTCTAGATTGGCACGGACGCTTTTCTGCAAAAAGGGCTCTGTTCCGAGCCCATGCTGCTTCCTGTGGCTCCCCTTGGCTGCAAACAGCAAACTGGAGCCAATAGGAGCCACAAGGCTCCGTGGCTGTGGAGCCAGAAAGTAACCCTGGAGCGGCTTTCTCAACGTGGCTTTGTGAGCCACTTTAGAAACTCTGCCATAGGTGGTCGACGCCTGCTCCTGTCTCCCAGACAGACAAAGTTTAAGAAACAAGTGCAGAGCCCATTCCCATAACTCTACATACAACCCCCCCATGCATGTGAGCAGCACAGACAGACTCAGCTAAGCAGGGGCTGTCATTGGACCCCTCACGTGGCCCACGTGGCCCAGAATGTGGGGAAACACACACCAGGTGGCGCAACAATGATCTGCATGTTCCGACTGAAATCCAATAATGTGACAGTCCCCGGTGCCACGTGGGTATCCTGGGCGTTGCACATCCCCTGCCTCCCTGCCCAAAGGAGCGGCATGCGCCGTGGTCCCTGCTGAGCTTGGCGACAGCTGCCCCCGCTGGCTGGGCTCAGCTAGCAAAGCCATCTGTGTGTGGGGGGGAGGAGAGGTCAAGTCCCCTCCACCAGCCAGGTCATGCCTCCCCAGGATGCACTGGGGCACTTCCCCAGCTAACGCCCCCCTTCCTTGCAGAGCCCTTTGCGCTGCGGCTGGTGGACGGCCCAGGGAGGTGCGCCGGGCGGCTGGAGGTGCAGTATGACGGGGAGTGGGGCACCGTGTGTGACGACCACTGGTCCAATTCCAGTGCCGACGTGGTGTGCCGGGAGCTGGGCTGTGGCCTTGCTGAGCCAGTGGCCCCAAAGCTGAAGGACCGGCCCCGCTTTGGCAAGGCTACGGGGAGAATCTGGCTGGATGACGTCCGCTGCAAAGGCACCGAGAAGACCCTGCAGAACTGTGCCCACCGCGTCTGGGGCTACCACGACTGCACCCACCATGAGGACATCAGCGTGGTCTGCCAGGTACACGGCCATGCGCAGAGAGAGAGAGCTCCTCTATGGGAGGGGAGTGGGGTCCAGGGTGTTAGAAGGGAGGGGGCTGGTGTCCAGGACTCTTGGGATCTGTCCCAGCCCTGGGAGGGGAGTGGAAGCAGGAGAAAAACAGGGGACGTGGGAGCCAGGAGTCCTAGGACCAGGCAGGGCCTAGCTCTAGGCACTAGCTATCTGGGTCGCGGGGTTTGGGGAAGTGCCCAGGTGGGTGAGGGGTCGGGAGCTCCCTGCATCCCTGCCCAGGCCTGCAGGCAGGGCTCCCTAACCACCCGTGCTCTCTTCATCCTGCAGGAGAGCTGAGCCATCCACAGCTCCTCCGCGGCCTCCCACGGCTCCCCTGCCGTCTGAACTTCCAACTTCCCGGCCCTGCCTGCCCAGCCTGGGATGAACACAGGGATCCAGAGCATTCCTCTGCCCCCCATGAGACACATTCTGTGGGCTCTGAGCCCCGGTCCCCGGGGGATGCAGCACGAAGTTGGCACACACCGGGGCGGGTGTCTCATTAGCAGTGGGGCAGCCCACCCACCATCAGAACAGGAGTTTCCAGGTCCCTCATTCCAACCCCAGCCAAGGAGGGGCCGTCCCTGATGGATCCCACCATTGCTGGGGTGGGGCTGCACCTCTTCCCCGCGGTGCAAGATGGCCCCTCCCCGCAGGTGTCTGTGCTACATGGCCAGGCTGGAGCCCTGGGGGAGACCCTCATGTCACAGCCATCCCGACTGCGCAGATGCAAATAAAGAGCTGAATCTGCTGGAGGACTCGTGTCTCCCTGCGGCTGCCGAGTGCTCGGTAGGATCCCAACCCACAAAACCGAACACCCTGGCCCTGCCCACCCTTTCTCTGAGGCCCCGCCCCACTCCACCATGCCCCACTGCCATTGTTCACAGGCTCATTTTCCTCTGGCTGCCTCAGGAGGCTGGGGGGTGGGAGGGGATGAAGCTCTGGGATGGGTCTGGGTACAGGCGGAGGCTGTGGGCTGGGACCAAGGAGTCCCAGGAGGCAGATCAGGGCAGGAGCTGGGCTTTATCCGCTTTAAGCCATGCCTGGAGCTGGGACACTACTGAGCAGTAACAAGTTTGACCTCGGTCTCAGCTCATAGGAGCGATAAGAACGGCGCTGAGCCAGGTTCGTGCCCACCCGGTAAACAACTGGAGTGTAACTAGTGCGGGGAGTTTCCTGTCTGGTGAGTCTCTCCAGGGACCTAAACCTCGAGGAGTGCCCTGCCTCCCCCTAGCTGGAGCCACGCCCACTGCGGCCCGTGCGAGGTGACCGGAACCGGACTCCCTGCAGACCTGAACGGGCGGAAGCATTTCCAAGTGCCTGTTACTCTCCTGTGCATTGCTTTGCCTCTGCTGATTGGGGTATTACTTTGCAGTAGCTGGGTAACCATGTGGCAGTCTTAAGCCTGTAATAGCAGTGACACAGTGAGATCAATAAAAGCAACTCTCTGTCCCTAACTGACTCTGTCTTGAAGTGAATGCACAGCCCTGTTGGGCCCTGCCCCTGTGACGTGACAGGACCCCTTGGCTGCCCCGATGTGTAGGAGCTGGAAGGGGGCACGTGGCTGCTCCTGGGGGGCGTGTGGAGCCGGGGCAGGTAGGAGCCTGTCTCAGCTCCTCTGTGCTGCTGGGCTTTTAACACCCAGCGCCCAGCCAGGCCTCGCCTCAGCAGGGGCCATTCCTGAGAGCTGTGGGCATGCCCCCAGACCGCCGGCCGAGACAGCGAGCGGGAGTCCCGGCCTCAGCCAGTAGCTGGCAATGGTCTGCCTGGCAGCACACACCGGCCTCTGCGTCCCGGGGCTGGGCATAGAACCCAGGGTCCTGCTCCCAGTGCCTTGCTCTAACCACTAGACCTCACTCCCCTCCCAGATACCTGTTCTCAGGAGCTGCCCCTGTTTGCTCACGTAGATGGGGCTGCCCTTGGAGCTCACTCTGCTCCGACAGCCGTTGCGTGCTGACTGGGAGGCACGGCTGGCAGTGAAGTGCTGCTATTCATTTGAGGACAACCCTTTCACAATAAGTGGGGGAAGCCTGTTGGTAATCTCTCAGAAACAAACAAGTAGATTGCCACCCCTCAGAACTTCAAATACAAAACTAATACATGCATAAGAGTGGTATAAACAGAATCAGTGAACCATAAGTGTTGTGTAGACATCTCACTTGGCCACGTTGTAGAAGATTTGGTGCAAACATATAACAGTGGTTGCACCAATGTTTTGTATGTTCATATCAGAATCAAATAACATCACACTAGGTTCGCCCTAGTTTGTGCCTAAGTGTCGTACTTTGCCTTTGTCCTCACTGAATGTCATCGTATTGATTTCTTACCAATTCTCCAATTTGTCAAGGTTATATTGCTATCTAATCTGGTCTTCTAAAGTACTTAGAATCCCTCTCAAATTAGTGGTGTTCATAAATGTTATAAGCACTCCATTATCCAAGTCATTAATAAAAACATTGGATAGGACTTGTCCCCAGATGCACTCCCGCAGGACCATACTAGATACTTCTTCCCAATTTGACAGTGAATCATTGATAATTACTCTGGATATGGCCTTTCAATCATTTGTGCCTCACTTTGTAGTAGTTTTGTGCCTTAACCACATTTCCCTGGTTTGCTTAGAAGAATGTTGTCAAAAGCCTTCCTAAAATCAAGATATATCATCTTTTGATTCCCACCGGTGCTCTCTCTAAATTGCAGGGAAGCACAACTTCACAGGAGATTAATCAGCAATACCCAGTCAGTCAGCTCCTTGCACAGAGCCCTAAGGCTCTGATTGGGCATGACTGATTAATCACCTGTGAAGCTGTGCTGCTGTGCAGCTTAGAGGGAACACTGCTTCCCACCTATCTTCTTTGCAAGGGTTATTGGTCTAGAAGGAAATTATGTTTGGCATGATTGTTCTTGACAAACCCTTGCTGGCTGTTCCTTATAACCCTGATATCCACCAGGTTCTTATGAACTGTTTAATAATTTGTACCAGTAACTGTCCAGGTATCAAAGTTAGGGTGACTTGGTCTGTAATTCCCTGGGCCTTCTTTGTTCCCCCTTTTGAAGGAAGGTGAGATGTTTGCCCTCTGTCTTCTAGGACATCACCCATCCTTTAGGAGTTCTCAAAGATAATTGCTAATGGTTCCAAGACTGCTTGAGCTAGCTCCTTAGATATCCTACAGTAAATTCCATCAGGCCCTGCTGATTTGAATATGTCCAATTTATCAAAATATTCTTTAATCTGTCTTGAATTTCTTCTCCCTTGCTGTTAGTATTAAGTCTGTTGAGTATCTGATCATCATTAACCTTTTTAGTGAAGATCAAAGCAAAACAGGCATTAAATATCTCAACTTTCTTGATGTTATTAGTTATTATCTTTCCTTCTCCACTACAGAGTATTTACACTTTTCTCCATCATTCTCTTGCTCCTAATGTACCTTAAGACCCTCTTTTTATTGCCTTTCAGGTTTGTTGCTAGGATGTAACTCATTTTGTACCTTAAGCCTTTCTGATTAGGTTCCTATATTCCCGTGCTATACTTTTGTGCTTTGCCTTAGCAATTTGTCCATGGTTACACTTTGGCTGCATCTAGACTGGCAAGTTTTTTGCGGAAAAACTTGCCAGCTGTCTACACTGGCCACTTGAATTTCTGCAAGAACACTGACGATCTCATGTAAGATTGTCAGTGTTCTTGCAGAAATACTATGCTGCTCCCGTTCGGGCAAAAGCCCTCTTGTGCAAATTCTTTTGCGCAAGAGGGCCAGTGTAGACAACGTAGTCTTGTTTTGCGCAAAAAAGCCCCGATCGCGAAAATGGCGATCAGGGCTTTCTTGCGCAAACCCGCGTCTAGATTGGCACGGACGCTTTTCTGCAAAAAGGGCTCTGTTCCGAAAATGCTTTTAACGGAACACTTTTCCGTTAAAAGCATTTCCGGAAAATCATGCGGCCCATGCTGCTTCCTGTGGCTCCCCTTGGCTGCAAACAGCAAACTGGAGCCAATAGGAGCCACAAGGCTCCGTGGCTGTGGAGCCAGAAAGTAACCCTGGAGCGGCTTTCTCAACGTGGCTTTGTGAGCCACTTTAGAAACTCTGCCATAGGTGGTCGACGCCTGCTCCTGTCTCCCAGACAGACAAAGTTTAAGAAACAAGTGCAGAGCCCATTCCCATAACTCTACATACAACCCCCCCATGCATGTGAGCAGCACAGACAGACTCAGCTAAGCAGGGGCTGTCATTGGACCCCTCACGTGGCCCACGTGGCCCAGAATGTGGGGAAACACACACCAGGTGGCGCAACAATGATCTGCATGTTCCGACTGAAATCCAATAATGTGACAGTCCCCGGTGCCACGTGGGTATCCTGGGCGTTGCACATCCCCTGCCTCCCTGCCCAAAGGAGCGGCATGCGCCGTGGTCCCTGCTGAGCTTGGCGACAGCTGCCCCCGCTGGCTGGGCTCAGCTAGCAAAGCCATCTGTGTGTGGGGGGGAGGAGAGGTCAAGTCCCCTCCACCAGCCAGGTCATGCCTCCCCAGGATGCACTGGGGCACTTCCCCAGCTAACGCCCCCCTTCCTTGCAGAGCCCTTTGCGCTGCGGCTGGTGGACGGCCCAGGGAGGTGCGCCGGGCGGCTGGAGGTGCAGTATGACGGGGAGTGGGGCACCGTGTGTGACGACCACTGGTCCAATTCCAGTGCCGACGTGGTGTGCCGGGAGCTGGGCTGTGGCCCTGCTGAGCCAATGGTTGCAAAGCTCAGGGACCGGCCCCGCTTTGGCAAGGCTACGGGGAGAATCTGGCTGGATGACGTCCGCTGCAAAGGCACCGAGAAGACCCTGCAGAACTGTGCCCACCGCGTCTGGGGCTACCACGACTGCACCCACCATGAGGACATCAGCGTGGTCTGCCAGGTACACGGCCATGCGCAGATAGAGGGAGCTCCTCTCTGGGAGGGGAGTGGGATCCAGGGTGTTAGAAGGGAGGGGGCTGGTGTCCAGGACTCTTGGGATCTGTCCCAGCCCTGGGAGGGGAGTGGAAGCAGGAGAAAAACAGGGGACGTGGGAGCCAGGAGTCCTAGGACCAGGCAGGGCCTAGCTCTAGGCACTAGCTATCTGGGTCGCGGGGTTTGGGGAAGTGCCCAGGTGGGTGAGGGGTCGGGAGCTCCCTGCATCCCTGCCCAGGCCTGCAGGCAGGGCTCCCTAACCGCCCGTGCTCTCTTCATCCTGCAGGAGAGCTGAGCCATCCACAGCTCCTCCGCGGCCTCCCACGGCTCCCCTGCCGTCTGAACTTCCAACTTCCCGGCCCTGCCTGCCCAGCCTGGGATGAACACAGGGATCCAGAGCATTCCTCTGCCCCCCATGAGACACATTCTGTGGGCTCTGAGCCCCGGTCCCCGGGGGATGCAGCACGAAGTTGGCACACACCAGGGCGGGTGTCTCATTAGCAGTGGGGCAGCCCACCCACCATCAGAACAGGAGTTTCCAGGTCCCTCATTCCAACCCCAGCCAAGGAGGGGCCGTCCCTGATGGATCCCACCATTGCTGGGGTGGGGCTGCACCTCTTCCCCGCGGTGCAAGATGGCCCCTCCCCGCAGGTGTCTGTGCTACATGGCCAGGCTGGAGCCCTGGGGGAGACCCTCATGTCACAGCCATCCCGACTGCGCAGATGCAAATAAAGAGCTGAATCTGCTGGAGGACTCGTGTCTCCCTGCGGCTGCCGAGTGCTCGGTAGGATCCCAACCCCCAAAACCGAACACCCTGGCCCTGCCCACCCTTTCTCTGAGGCCCCGCCCCACTCCACCATGCCCCACTGCCATTGTTCACAGGCTCATTTTCCTCTGGCTGCCTCAGGAGGCTGGGGTGTGGGAGGGGATGAAGCTCTGGGATGGGTCTGGGTACAGGCGGAGGCTGTGGGCTGGGACCAAGGAGTCCCAGGAGGCAGATCAGGGCAGGAGCTGGGCTTTATCCGCTTTAAGCCATGCCTGGAGCTGGGACACTACTGAGCAGTAACAAGTTTGACCTCGGTCTCAGCTCATAGGAGCGATAAGAACGGCGCTGAGCCAGGTTCGTGCCCACCCGGTAAACAATTGGAGTGTAACTAGTGCGGGGAGTTTCCTGTCTGGTGAGTCTCTCCAGGGACCTAAACCTCGAGGAGTGCCCTGCATCCCCCTAGCTGGAGCCACGCCCACTGCGGCCCGTGCGAGGTGACCGGAACCGGACTCCCTGCAGACCTGAACGGGCGGAAGCATTTCCAAGTGCCTGTTACTCTCCTGTGCATTGCTTTGCCTCTGCTGATTGGGGTATTACTTTGCAGTAGCTGGGTAACCATGTGGCAGTCTTAAGCCTGTAATAGCAGTGACACAGTGAGATCAATAAAAGCAACTCTCTGTCCCTAACTGACTCTGTCTTGAAGTGAATGCACAGCCCTGTTGGGCCCTGCCCCTGTGACGTGACAGGACCCCTTGGCTGCCCCGATGTGTAGGAACGGGAAGGGGGCACGTGGCTGCTCCTGGGGGGCGTGTGGAGCCGGGGCAGGTAGGAGCCTGTCTCAGCCCCTCTGTGCTGCCGGACTTTTAACACCCTGCTCAGCAGTGCTCATCGAAACCCAGACACCAGGCAACCTGCTCTCAGTGCTGCTCACGTGGGCCCAGGATCACCCAGCGCCCAGCCAGGCCTCGCCTCAGCAGGGGCCATTCCTGAGAGCTGTGGGCAGCTGCCTCCAGAACTCATGCCGAGACAGCGAGCGGGAGTCCCGGCCTCAGCCAGTAGCTGGCAATGGTCTGCCTGGCAGCACACACCGGCCTCTGCGTCCCGGGGCTGGGCATAGAACCCAGGGTCCTGCTCCCAGTGCCTTGCTCTAACCACTAGACCTCACTCCCCTCCCAGATACCTGTTCTCAGGAGCTGCCCCTGTTTGCTCACGTAGATGGGGCTGCCCTTGGAGCTCACTCTGCTCCGACAGCCGTTGCGTGCTGACTGGGAGGCACGGCTGGAAATGGGGCCCACGCCCAGGCAGCTGCTATGAAGCCTCTGAACACCCGTGTACCAGCATGGGGAGGCTCAATGGGAGTCAGCCTCCCTCTACACAGACGCCCTTAAAACACCGGCGAGACTCCATTTCCCTTTGCCAAGGCCACACGGCCTCTTTTCCAAGGTACCATGTTACCGACGTGTCTGCTCGCTCTGGTCTTTGCGACTGCTCCCTGGGCCTGACACGGGCTCCCTGTCCTGGAAGTGCCAAGAACACCTCTGGGGCCTTTCAAGAACTTCCACGTGGCACCAGCTACCTTCCCGCCATCTGGGGCAGCGCCTGGTTGCAGCAGGAGGCTTCATACCACAGAGGGGGGTTCTGCAGGGTCCTGTCTCAGCACCTGCAGAGCTCTTGGGAGAACACGGAAGTCCTGCGCTTCTAGGCTCTTAGGACTTGCCTCAGAGGCTCACAGGGACTCTCAGCCTAGCCTCTCTCCCTTTCTGGGGGCAGGCGGCCTGCTGGGCCACCTTCCCCATAGGCCAATCCATGCATTTGTCTCCATCTTCCCTCTTGGGCAGGGGGATGTCTCTGTAGTGGTGCAGGGAATGTTGTGTGGTTCCAGCAGGTGTTCTGATTAGCCTGCTTCTTTGCTTCTAGCAAGCTCTTAATTGGCTCCAGGTGACCAGGCTTACTTGATTCCAGCACATTCCTGGTTGCTCTGGAGAAATGCTGCCTTGGGCATTGGGCACAGAAATCTCTTTATCCCGTGGCCAGTGGACTTGCTTCCACCAGACTCCTGCAGCCAACCGGTCTGGGGCTGTCACACTCGTTGTTGGTTAATGTACCAGTCTGCTCCGAGGTCTCCTCTGCTGTCAGACCTCAGTCTGAGGCAGTTCCTCAGATCTGCCGTCTTAACGAAACTCTTGGCTGTGGTATCTCCCCAATAACCCCTCCAGCGAAGACTGATGCAAACAATTAATCTAACTTCCCCTCGATGGCCGTGCCTTCCTCGAGTGCTCCTTTAGCAACTCGATGGTCCGATTCCCTCCGAATATCAGTAAGAATCAGGCTTCTGCAACCTTTTGATGCTTTAGATCAGGGGTCTACAACCTATGGCTCTGGAACCAAATGTGGCTCTTTTGTCATTCCCAACATACACACAACTTTTAAAATTAAAATGAAAAATTAATTCACAAATTTAAAAATGTGCAGTCACTCATGTCGCTTGCATGAACCTGGATTCAACCAGTGGTGATGTAAATGTCAAAGAAATGTGCAAAAAGATGCAGCAGAAGCAGCAGCAGCAGCAGCAGAAGTCCCATTAAATAAAGTCTGTGAGCGCAACGTTTCATTTATCCTCTTGTAACCCTTCTGCCGGGTAGGCCTGGCAGTAACCAGGGCTGGGTTCAATATCTTGGGGTCAATCTCACAAAGAACCGGCTCGAGCCCCCACCCAGTGATCTGGGAAATTCACACATCCCTGGGCGCCTCTGAGAGGCAATGCTTCCCCACTCGCAAGCACTGAGTCTGAGAGTAGGAAAGAAACATTTAATGAAACAGAGAGAGAATTCATACGGCATTAACTTGGGGTTCATAACCCAAACATGAGCCAAGCCCCCACCCCAGCCAAAAATCACCCAAAGTCCACAGAGTCCGACATCCCAAAAGTCTCTGTCCCTGGTCTGTGCCACCCAGAGTCCCAAAGTTCACCCGCAGGGTTCCACCTCCCAACCTGGGTAGAAATGGGAGGATAGATGGGGGCACCTTATACGAAACTCCACCACGCTCCACCAGCTGTCTCATCCCAGCCCTCTGGACGCTCCACTGGGCACCTGTTGCCGCTCCTCATCTGCTGCCGACACTGGTCGCCGCTTCTCGCCTGCCGCCGCTCCACGCCATGCCGCTGCTCCACACCACCGATGGCTGCTCCTCGCCCGCTGCTGGCCCCACCCACACCGCTGGTCACCCCCACTTCACTGGCTGCGCTAAG